TCGTTCGCAATACGTTCTAACTTCAACTTTCGTTGGCTAAAAACACATTGCTCAATTTACCTTCATTCATGCATTCTATCGAACACTTTTGATGCATAGAAACACCTATGTTCTAAAACAGAGAGATCAATCATATTCTAGCATTAAGAACATGTAAATCGAAGAATCTAATGGTAGAGAATTCTCTATGACAGTCTATTCACTAATTCATGGAATCTCTACTTGGAACCCTAAAACCTAATTGAGAACTACTCACACATAGAGAAAGAGAGAACAAAAATAAATGAAGAGAAAATGATGAAATTGTAGAAATAACAAGAAAGGGTTTAGAAATCTTATCCAAGTGTCAAGAGGATGGATTCATTTGCCCAAAGTTGCTTACAAACCAAAGAACAAATTTTTTTTTTTTTTTTTTTTCCACCAAACACCATTTCTATTAAGTTGTCGGAAAGAGACTATCCGTTAAGGAGAGCCAATCAGGAACCGACTCGCTTACATGGGAGAAAAGACCGTTTCGAGCCCTAGCTCTTTTAGCTAGACAATCGGCTCGAGAATTAGAACAACATGGAATAAATCTAATGCTAAAAGATGGGAAAGATTCCTTAAGAGACCGAAAAGAGGCCAATTCAGCGGCGAAAGTTGACCACTCGTCTTGGTGGTCTAGGAGAGCCAACAAGTCGGAACAGTCGGTGGCGAAAGCTCCAGAGGTATCACCCATCACAATCATGCATTCCATTGCCCACAACAAGGAGTCTACTTCCGCGTGAAGCGATGACAGACTTCTTCTCGTACTCCGGAGACCTAGAAGAATACAATCATCTTGGTTGGTTAAAACCCATCCATGACCGCTTAGGTTATCATCCAAATGCCAAGAAGCGTCAAACTGACATTCGGGGGTCTGAGGAGGGGGAAGGCAAACAAGAGTCGGGAGGGAGATGGACTCGACTACGGCCGCTTCCTTCAGATTTGCTTGTTTCCATGCACTTGCCTCTTTCACGGCCAAACCTAAGGTCTCCAAAGGAGGTTCCTCAAAATTTTCGAACACAAACCGATTCCGACTTTTCCATATATACCAAAGTATCCATGGAAAGATTTCAAAAATCTCCTCTTCTATTTCGAACTCTCGGCCCCGCCAGAAGAGAAAATCGAAGTTATAGAAGAGGGAGCTCTAAGGGAAGAGGTGGACTGAAGTGGGAATAGGCGATAAAGCCCAAATTTGCCTCGAGGGTGGACAGTCAAAGAGAATGTGATTTATTGTTTCTTCTTCTCCCCCACAACGAGGACATCCTTTGTCCGTCCCAATATGTCTGTAAACAAGTCTTTGGTATGTGGCTACACATCCAGATAGACATTGCCACGCGAAATGCATAAGCTTCCGCGTAGTTTTAAGCTTCCATACTTGTGCCTGAAGAACAAAATTTAGAACTGACAAAATCTCAAAGATAATGTCTCAAAGTCAAGCCTAGGGTTTAAAACAATAGGAGACGAGCCGGGTCGGATCTAGAGTGAATTGGGTCAAATCTAGGCCAAAAACTCGCCTGGAGAGGGGATCGATCGATCCCTCCAGAGTGTTTGGAACTGATTCTTGTCCATCAGAGGTGTGGATCGATCGATCCACAAAGGGATCGAGCGATCTTGAGCTTCTGGTGTCCAGTTCTGCAACTGCTTCAAATGCTCGCCAGAATGACCTGTCTTCACTAATTTGGGTATAACTCTTGAATGCACCGTTAGATTGCTTTCAAACCACCTGTAAACTCAAGCTAACATCTTCATCTAGCTTGTGTCAAAAATTCAGAAAGAGCTAACGGTGGGAAGTATTCCATATGAGACCAAACGTCTGACACTTTTAAACGAAACTACATCTCTAAAAGTGTGTTTATAACCCAAAACAGCTCGTTTTCTTCCAAATCAACCTAAAACCTATAGAGACTCGATCAATGACTAAAAGACTCTAAAAAAATACTTTGACTCTATAAAAAATATGATCTAAGAAAGAAAACAAAGACTCAAAACCGATAAAAACACAACATATCAAAAAGACCAAAAACCCAAAGAAAAATATCCAACATCACAATTCGACCCGTTGACTCCTATCTGCCAATTGAGTTGATAAAATCAGAATTAATAAGAGTTAAAGAGTAAATAAATGAATGTGAGTAGAGTTTAAGCATTAACAGTTCGTGAATATGGCAAGTTGGAAACCACAGAAATAAACGATGGAGAGGAATGCAGAGAAAGAAATAGAAGAGAAGTTGGATTAAATTGGGGTTAAATAGAATCTGAATCGGTTATAAATCATACCAATACCATGATCTCAGCTTGAACGTGGTTGTTTTAGTATGAGCAAATTTAGTGATTTAGGAGATGAATGCAGTTTTCTTTTTTTCTAGATATTTCCGTCAGGGCACGATATCGGAGAAGAATAAACATTAAGTTTTTTGTCTGATTAATTATAAATAACATTTGGGAAATACTTTAACTGTCTTTGGCCAAAAAAAAAAAAAACATTTTAAGGGAATATTACAAAATCTACCACATTCCAACAACTGGCATTCAAAATCTACCACAATCTCAAAAGTCTTTCAAAATCTACCATATTCCAATAGCATAAGCGAAATGATGGACCAAAATACCCTTGATTGGGACAGATTGTGGCAGACTGCTGTGTCAGATAAAGGGACAGACTACTGTGTCAGGTGTCAGATAAAGGGACAAGTTGCAATAAATGTTGCACGTATACAATTGCATATAATTTTATTTAAATAATATGTTATATGAGGACAAGTTCAGATCGAATGAGTAATAGAATTAGATCGGGGACAAATTCAGATAGAATGGGTAATAGAAATAGATCGATGACAAGTTCATATCGAATGGGTAATAGAACTAGATCGGGGACAAGTTCAGATAGAATGAGTAATAGAATTAGATCGGAGACAAGTTCATATCGAATGAGTAATAGAACTAGATCGGGGACAAGTTCAGATCGAATGAGTAATAGAATTAGATCGAGGACAAATTCATATCGAATGAGTAATAGAATTAGATCGGAGACAAGTTCAGATAGAATGGGTAATAGAATTAGATCGGGGACAAGTCAAATCGAAGGAGTAATATAATTAGATCAAAAATTGAGCGTGATGATTTTTATCATCTAATTCTCTTGACTGTCCATCGCCAGATGGTGTAGTTTTGCCCGCCAGAGATCTGGATTTACTCGGGGACAACTGGATCTTTTTGTTATTTTGCAATAGAAAAAAAAAATCAATAATTCGTGTAGATGAAGACAATAATGCTCAACTAAACGGGGACCAAAATAGATGGTGAAAAATCTAAATAAAATTCGAAACCCTTAAATGAGAACAATTGGTGGACAAGATGTGGGATTCATGATAATAGATCAAGATGATGAAATCGGGGACAAGATCTAAATGCAACAGAGAATTTCCAATTGGGGACAAGATGTGGAGACAAAAACGAAAGGTAATTGTTTAGTCTCAGAAGATATAATGTTTCTTGGTTTAAGTGCACGTGTCTCGAGGGAGAGAGAGATAAATAGGGTGGAGAGATAAATAGAAAGAAGAGATAAATAGGAAAGAGAAATAGGGAGGGCAAAATGGTAACTTTGTATCTAAATGTGGTATGAGTTGAAAGAAGTGAAGGAATGTGGTAGATTTTAAAAAAAATTGGGAATAAAGTGGTAGATTTTGTAGTTTTTCCACATTTTAACTGTCATGGGCCTCAAAATTACGAAGCTTAAAAAAGAAAAATTTTCCTTTCCTTTTTACACGATCTCAACTTTATGTTTTTTTTCCCCACGATCCCATTTATTTTTGAATTGTTTTTATGTAAAATAAATTATGAAAGAGAATCTTATGTGGCAAAATTTTAGTGGTCAGGTGACTTGTGATTTATAAGATAAAGGATATATATATATATATATATTTGGTTAATTTTTTATGTATCATAATATATTTTTGGCTTGTATTTGTAAACTCAATTTTTATCCTTTGGACCTATGTTTATGACACAATTTAATAGTTTTTATTAGTGAAATGGAATTTATTGAAGAAAAAAAATTAATATCCCTTAAAAACAAGAAGTTGGTATCCTGCGACGATTTCTTTTTCCAAAATTTTATCTTATTCTTCGTAATTTTACATGCGAGCGCTTAGCTTTTTAGGTTTTAATAGGTGAGGAAGTATCGAAGCGGATATCCGCAAATATCACAAAAAAATTCGGAAATTTTCGGATCAAAGCAAATCACAAAATCAAGTATTCGGTTGAGACGAATCGAATAACGAATATCCCAAATTTTCCGGATATCCGCTTCGTGCCCAGGCCTACTATCTGGTCCAAGCCCATCCGATCCAAGCTCAATAGAAAGAAGAAAACGAAATCGATTTCCTCCATTTTTCTCTTTCGAAAAAATCAAATCCCTAATTTTGGAAATCCTTCCAGCTCCACCATGTGAGCTCACACATATATGTTCGCAACTTAGACGTCTGATGTGATTTGATGCAGTTTCCTGATGTCCAAATAACTCTCTAATGTCTATCAACTCGCTGTTCGCAGAATCTGCATTTTCTAAAAACATAAACTCAACTTTATGGGATTTATCTTTGTCATCAAAAGAATCAGATCCTTCGAAAAAAAGAAGAGGAAGAATATGTTTTATTACTATTGGTATGGTTTTCTCTCTCATTTGATTCGATATTGGTGTGGTAATGAAGTGGAGAAATAAAGAAATAGTAAATTAAAGACCCCACTTATTATTATTTCCCTCAATAAAACCAAAAACATTTCTCTACAAAAATCATAAATGTTATAACCAAAATAATTGAAAAAAGTAGCTCGAGAGAGAAGTAGCATTTGCTACTTTACCCAAAATCCCTAACCACATAATAAACCAAACCCAACAAAGAAAAGAAAATTTCAAAACCCAAAAAAAAAATGAGAACTTTAGAAGAATCGAAGATCTCTATTGTCTTCTTGTTACTTCTTCTCTTCTCAATCTTCATCAGTTTCAGTCACCAGGTGAGTTTGTTTACTTAGATCCCATCACTAGTTCCCACTAAAGTTCTCTTCTTTCACATCTGGGTAGTTCTAATTTCGTCAAAAATCAAACCTTTAACCTAACCTGAATTCAAAGTTTTGAGCTTTCTTTAGCTTTAGAGACTGAGTAATTCTGGGTTCTGATTGGAATTTTGTTTAGGCAAATGAGGTATTACCATCTGAAGAAGAGAAGATGATGGTGCCATTGATGGAGGAGAAGTTTATGGTAATGAATGAAACAAGAAGGAAGCTTGGAAGTTTTCAGATATGTTCTGTTTGTACTTGTTGTGGTGGTGCTAAAGGTCTTTGCTTGCCTTCTCCTTGTTGCTATGCTATTAACTGCAACATCCCTAATAGACCCTTTGGTTACTGTTCTTTCACTCCCAAAACTTGCAATTGCTTTGGTTGCCATATCTGAGATCTTCTACTTCATTGTAAGTTTCTAATTCTTGTTCTTCTCTGTTCTTGGTTTCTTCTTAGTTCCTGTTTTGATGTTTGGTTATGAATGTTTGATTCAGGGCAATCTAAATCTTGCTTGATTCATCTACAAGTGTGAAAGGGAGGAAAACAAAAAGAAGAATATCTGTTCTTGGTTTGGTTCTTATTTTTAATTTTTGTCTATAATTTATTTTTCAGTTTTCATTAAATTTCATTACCTACTATCTCAGCAACATCATCATCCTCATTAATTAATTGTCTTTTTGCATTGCCATTTTCATAATTTTTTAGGGTTTTTTTAGTGTTCACACTTCAAGCAAGATTTGTTTTTTCTTCTCTCTTTAATCAATTCTCTATCTGTCTTTCCTTTTTTTCATTCTCTTGTTTATTTTAATTTGTTTCTTATGGGTTTTAAGAAAGTTAAAAGTTAGAGTTTAGCATATTTTGGAAAGAGTCAGTCATTGTTTTGGTTAAGCTGGCAATTGGGAAGAGTATTTAATATGATGATGATGATGGTGTTGATGGTGATGGTGGTGATAGTGAAGCTGTTAAAGTTTAAGTCTTTGTAATGAGTGATATGTTAAGAAAATGAATCAAGTTTAGTGCTCTGTTCTGTTCTGATAAGATCTAAGTGTTTGTTTTAGTTTTAAAATAGAGAGCAAAAAAAAAAGTTTAATTTTGAGTAAAAAAACAATTATTCATCTTCAAGTGCAGAGATTTGACAATATCTTTGAATATGTTTATTTAATTGACACTGTTATTATTGTAAGAGATGTTTTAAATCAAATGTTTGTTCCAACTCTCTCTCTCTCTCTTGTGTTAGCGTAATTAATCTGCAAGATCTGAAATTAATTACTAATTGTTCATTATTATTCACACATGGGACATCATAAAGTTGTCATGGTGATAAATTAAGTCAATGTGCTTGAGTGTTGACTATAACAGTTTACCCGTGATTGATTGGCTTTTATTAAAATCGGACAATTTTCATTTATATTCACCGGACATGTTTATTAAACTCTAAATTACTTTCGTAAAGATAAATAAGCTCAAAGTATAGATATTAGTTCGGTTAATTTGAATCACCGATAGACTTGGTGCAATTAACTTTTATGTTGAATAATAAATTTAAAAATCCAAAAAATAAAATAACTCAGAGGAAGCCAATAAAACAATGAAATCATTAGAAACACGGTTGATTCAATATAAGTTATTAAAAATAGAATATAAATATTACGAACACTACTAATGCAAAAACGTTTTTATTTTCTTCAAAAGAACGAGAAGCCTATATCAAATAATAAGAAATATCACTTGTTCAAAAAATCATTGAGAAACCAAATACTATATAAGTCTCGGCACTTGACGACTGATCTTATATTCGTACTATGCTTGCTTCTACAAAAATAAGTTCGTCATGTTTATTTATGAGAGAAAAATTTCTTATATATTTTGAACTTGTATTTTGGTTATGAAAATGTTTTTACCGTTGAATTTTTAGTACTGAGCAGTGGTTTAGCTCTTCTCTCTAATAATATTTTGAATTATAATGTTATCTTCTGTCGTAAAAAAATTATTGATGTGAAAGCCTCTTATCAAAGAAATAAAATTTTAATGACTTTTGTTATAGAGATTTTAGCGTTCAATTTCGAAATAATGTTTGGGAACGTCTCACTTGAATTGGTATTAAACGATTAAGCCTTTGGTACATGATAGGCAGTTTTAACTGAGTAACGATTAATCATGAAACAAAGAGGAAGAATCTGACCTACGTCCTTTTTACTCTCTTGTAATCTTATGATCCAAAATTTTGGCATGCTAGAATTAGCTTGTTTAGAAAATCAGTTGTCAGGGCCGGTCCTTAACTTTAGGTGGCCTAAAGCAGAATTAAATATGTGGCCTTCCGTATACTGCTAATATTATAAATAAATACAAAATTTATACTATAAAATTAGAAAGGTATTAAAATGATAAAATATAGCTGATTAAAAATCACTAAATATTTTAATAAAGTAAAACAATTTATGAAAATTAAATTTTCTAATAGGAAAGTGTAAGAAAAAAAAAGATGAAAAAGAATGCCAGAAAAATAAAAGCAAATACAGTCAATTGAATGGTTCGAACCTGGGTAATGGAGCTAAACGTTGGGACAGCTAACCACTAGCCTACTTAACACTTTTGAAAATGTGGTCTTATGATTTACGTTATATTGTGTGGCCTAAAGCAGGTGCTTTACCTGCTTTATGGACGGGCCGGGCCTGTCAGTTGTCATAGAAAGAAAAACGTAAAATCTAACAATGCGTGTCGCCTTGTTGGTTGGACCGTGCACTTAGTAATAAAGTTTGGCACACTCTTTTCTCCTAGTCACTTGTATAGAATTTATAGATAATTGGTTATGATCATGGACCGGTTATGGCATTAATGACCGAAAAGATGATCCATAATAAAGAGTATTTTGTTTTGATAAATGGTCGCTCGATAAATTAAACATGGTCGAGTCCCAAAATGTTTTTGATAGAATTTGAAATTGTTGTGATGTTGTTTCTCGATGGAGATATATTCCTTCTAGTAACATTAATATTTCTCCATCGAGAATCTCCATCGAGAAACAACATAACAACAATTTCAAATTCTATCAATCCCCAAGAAAGAGAAATTAAAATTTGTGCAAACATTAGCTATCACGTAATATCCAAACCTCTTATTTGGAAGTTAGGTTTTGGACTCAAATGGATGGGATACATCATGAGGTGTGTGAGATATGTTTCCCAATATAGTCTCTGGCTATGAGACTCTTTATCACCATATTTATTTATCGTGGGATCGGTGTGTCGATAGTTAAATCTTTGTAAGTCGGAAAAGAATAAGATGTTAGTCGGGATTAGAATAACGAGAACTAGTTTGTGAATGTGTCAGTACATAGGTCTTTGTGAATAATAGTTGGTTTTGTAAAACTGATCCGAATTAATGTGAACTGTCCTTAAGACTCCTCCATCTCTATGGAGCGGCTAATTAGACCAACTACTGAATTGTGATAAATCTAAGGTTTTCTCAAAAGATTTAAGAGTCTAAAATATGGTACAGTCTTACATACTCCCTCTGTTTTTTAAAAGTTGTCGTTTTAACTGTATTTGGACAAATTAAGAAAAGGTATACAATGACTATATTAACCTTATAAAAATGACAAGTAATTATTTACAAATAATTTGTGTTTAATTAAATGAGGGTAATTTGGGTAGTTATTGGCATAAGTTACATTATTACCTTAAAACGACAACTAATTTAAAACAAAAAAATGCTCTAAAACGACAACTATTCGAAAACGGAGGGAGTATATTTTAGTAATACCAATGTTCAAAATTTGCTAAACGCTAACTAGACATTCCTAGATGATTTGGCGCCTAGGGAACTAATTAATTAGGTATGTTTTTTCTTTATTGTTTTTGAATATTTAATTAATGTAAATATTCAAAAATTATATCAAACATATCATTTCATTATATTTTTCATTTTATTTATTTTTATTAAAATAAATAATCGGGCACCTAGATGGCTAAGCCAAAATAATTTTTGACATTGCACCGAATGATTTGGCCAAAATGGAGAGTATGGGTGATTTTAGCCGTTTAGATGCTTAGACATAATCTTACTTTCCATCCAACTAATATTACCTGTAAATATCAATTTAAGCATTTTCTATTGATTATATTAATATAAAAATAATAATAAATAGAAAAATATATAGATTGAAGAAATATCTTAAATTACCTTTGATATAATATTTTCCTTTGTATGGACTACCTAAAGGAAAGATAAATTACATTACATATGTGATACTATTTTTTCCCTAAATATCTCGTTTTATGCCCCACAAAAGGTAAAATATATGTATTAGTTGTCTCTAAAGATAAATGATTATCATTTTACACTCAATCACATGCCTACACGTAATGGTGAAACTAATACCATATCTTAAAAATTTAGTAAAATTGAAAATTAATTAGTACAACAAAGCTGTAAGAAACCTATTGAGTAGAGTAGAAACACCTTTTATTTACTATATAAACAATCCTCCTCATGCTAACAAACCAAAACACACATAACAAAGATAATAGATATGAAGAGGAAGATGAAGTTAGCGTTCATAGAAAATGGTAAATCGAGGAAAACAACATTCACCAAAAGGAAGAAAGGGATGATGAAGAAACTCGAGGAGCTAGTCACTCTATGTGGTGTTAAAGCATGTGCGGTCGTCTATAGCTCGTACAACTCGATCCCGGAGGCTTGGCCATCAAGAGAAGGCGTTGAAGAAGTGGTGTCAAAGTTTATGGAGTTGTCGATGATGGACCGGACCAAGAAGATGGTGGATCAAGAGACTTTTACACGTCAAAGGATCGCCAAAGCAAAAGAGCAGCTGCAGAAGCTACGTGATGAGAACCGTAATTCTCATATTCGAGATTTAATGTTTGGTTGTCTCAAAGGAGAGACGGATGTGTATCATCTTGATGGAAATGATCTTCAAGATTTGAGTTTATTGATTGATAAGTATCTCGATGGCCTTACTCACAGGATTGAGATCTTTACTGAGAACGGTGAGTCTTCTTCATCTTTACCTCTTCCTATTGTTGAGGATGCAGCTGCCCAGATCGGATTTGATGGTCGTATGATTCAATATCAAAATCAAAATCACCAAAAGCCGGTTCAATTCCAATATCAGGCTCTTTTTGATTTTTATGATCAGCTTCCAAAGAAAATCCATGATTTTAATATGGATATGAATATAAATTCGAATCAAAGTATGATTTTGGATTTGAATCAAAATCTTAGTGATGGAGAGGACGAGGGCATTCCTTGCATGGACAGCAACAACTACCAACCCGAAATCGATTGTCTTGCTACCATCACCACTGCCACCACTGATGTTTGTGCTCCTAACATCACCAATAATCTCTAGTCTAAGGGATATATTTCGAGTGAAGTGTTTGATCGTTTGCATTTATGTTTTCTCCATTTCATAAGACAAAATTTACATGTGATGTCTTTTTTATTATTATTAATTGTTGTGATACTTAAAGGTTTTGCCTTTAAGTTCGTTTCCATTGATGTATTTGCTTGAAAAAATTTAGTTCTATTTGAAAAAAAAAAAATTATTACAAAAGAAATAGTTTTAGCTATCTTAAAAAAAAAACTAATCTTTATATGATTCTTTTTAAACTCTGGTATATAATCTTTTATGCATAAAACGAGATATTTAGGAAAAAAGTTGTATCACATATGTAATGTGATTTATTTTTCATTTAGGAAGTCCATACAAAGTAAAAAAAATTATATCAAAAGGTAATTTAAGATATTTCTTCAATCTATGCATTTTTCTATTTTCTATTAATAGAATTAATAAATCATTTAAATTACAGGTAATAGTTGGATAGAAAGTAATGTTATGGCTGAGCATCTAAACGGCTAGAACGATCCACACTCTCTATTTTGGCCGGCATTGGAAGGTCAACAATTGTTTTGGCTTAGCCATGTAGGAGACCTATTAATTTGTTTTTTAATTACATTTTAATAAAATGTCTTAAAGGAAAAATAAAATGAAATAATATATTTAGTATAATTTTTTAATATTTATAATAATTTAATATTCAAAAAATATAAAGAAAATAATATCTAATTAATTTCCTAGGTGCTTAAACATCTACGAATGTTTAGTTAGTTTTTAGCAAATTTTAACCTATTGAACTTTTTGACCAAAATAACCTTCCTATGATGTCAAATACTGAAACTAATTTAGAACTTTTGTGAGTTACATTAGCACCACATTTTATCACAACTTTTTTATTATTTTTTACCAGTTGAAAGTTTATAACCATGTTTTTACCAATTGAATTTCTTATATTTTTCAAATAATTGTAATAACAAAATATATTCTTACAAAATTATAAAAGTTAAATATAATACAGTAGAACCTCTATAAATTAATACTCGATAAATTAATAAACACGATAAATTAATAAATTTGGCCGGTCCCGAGTCGGGCCAGTGTAAAAATTAACCAAATTCGATAAGATAATAAGATAATAAGTTTTTTGAAATCCCTATGTAACAATATAGTCCCAATAATATCATAAATTAATAATTATGTAAATTTGCATATATATATATATATTATATATATATATATAATAGCTTTAGTGTTTTTCATAAAAATAGCCAAAATTTTTTATAAGTTTTCAAATTTTGAATATACATAATTTTTGTTTTAATAGTCGTATAGGTTTTTAAAATACAACAATGGATGTCACTATTTGTGAATTTTAATTTTTGTATATCGTTTGTATATGTAAATTCTATAATCGTTGTTATTCATTGTCTAATAAATTATTTTCTCTTCGAAATGTTAAGTGTTTAAGGCTAAAACTATAAAATTTATAACATCCAAAATATTAATTTTATTTAGATCACATTGCTTTAACTCGTATTTTTAAGAAAACTTTTCACAATTGAAACAAAACTTTCTATAAATTAATAAATATTAATTTATAGCATAAATTAATAAGTATTAATTTATAGATAAATTAATATCACTATAAATTAATAAAATATCATGGTCCCAACATTATTAATTTATAGAGGTTTTACTGTATATGGCTCCATTTCTAGTGATCTCAATGCGACAATGCGGGACCAGCCTGTTATATACGAATGTCTATATACATTATTTTCTCTGTTTTGTAACAATAAACGAGTAATGAAATTATATTTTATTGGTTTCAATTTGTAACAACCAACAAGAGGTCGAATGAGCCAACTAGAATACAGCCCACAACCAAAACTTTTCAACGTTGGCTATGGATTTACATATTTCCGGACCATATTCACCATTGTTGACGACCGTGTGTCTCTTGACACCATTCGCCGAAAAAGGTTGGGTTTTATTCCCTTGAACAGAATATGTAAGTGTTCAAAATCCTTTTTAAAACTCCTTTTGAATTACATGTTAATGCCAAAGATGTTTGTTTGGTATTGAATCTCGGCTTGAATCATAATGCAGAGGCTTGGAAAACTCTCACGTGGAAGGTGTTAGGGTAGTTAAATTTTCTGTTTACTGCTTTTTCTTATGTAATGTGAAAATATATCTTATGTTATCTCTCATTGATTTTGATATTTAATCATCTCTTTGTTTCCCTTATGAGTTTTGAATAAATACAGTTTTACTTCTACCACAAATCTCAATATATTTGATAGACAAACTAATTAAAGAGAAAGATATATAACAACAAAAGTTACTCCAAAGTATTTAGAAAATTTCAAGGTTTCTTTTAGGTCCAGTTCAACAAAACTTCCGAGAAAATCAATTTGGACGAAACTACACAATACTCTAGCTTAAAACATAAGTCACAAGAAACAGAGTGATACAGCAGCGGTAGCTTCTTGTACACGCTTCCTTCGGAACACTAAGATGGAATTGTTCTTGTGGTAAACGCCACCAATCGTTTCGATAGAACCTGCAAAACTTTTTCACTTAGAGGAAACTCCAAGTCCAAGCATTGCTGGTCCTGAATCTCCAAATCTCTTGATCACCTTTCCAAGTTCAGTTCAGCAATGGAACCATAAAAAGATGGCGTTCTCGCTTCAGGTGAGTGACTGATGAACGAAATCGCCTGAGATCTAAGCTGAAGTAGTTTCCTGTGAGTACAATTGTTGATGTTTGAATGTCAAGAAATAGCAATTCCGATTTTAGTGCTATTTTTATTTGTATACAAAACTTCTAGCATTAAAAAAAAAAAAAAAAAAAAACTGATTCATATAATCAAATTGGTGCAACTAATCATGATGTATGTAGAGACAATAAATCTTGGTATCCTTAACCAACAAAATAAAACTATAATCGATTTCATGTTTATAAAACCATAGATCCCTTTATTAATAAAACACGTTCTCTTTCACAAGAAAAGAAAAAACCCTAAAAGACTTACCAACAAAAAACAAACCCTAAAAACACTCACACGCACATAAAACCCCTATTATGGATTCTTGAAGGCTGCGTTCAAGATCTTTGGACTCAGCATACCCTTTACAGGAAACCTAGTGGAATCAATAGCGAAGCAAATCTTCCGAGTCTCTTTGTGCCTAAACATCCAAATAGTGAGAAAATCAACATGCTTCTCGAGCTTATATTTCTTCACGAAATTCTTCCATCCAACACTCATCAAAACAGGTGTGTCCTTCTTCCACATCTTGAAAACCATCTCATGAATCTCTCCCTTTGGTCCATACACCGAGACCGTTTGCCCATGAATCCCAAGTTTCTCTGTTTTTCCAAGAACATCAACCATCATCTTTTTCACCCGCTCCTTCCCTAACATGAGCCTGCACTGATTTTCCTTCACGTCGCTACCCGTCAACTGCTTCCACATCAGTTCGCTGCAAGCTCCCATCGCATCTGGATCACCGACAAAGATCCTTCTCGGAGGATTTTTCGGCCTATTGGCCTCCCAATCGATCATGCGCAATAGGGTTTCTTTGGAATTGTCTACCTCCGCGACTTTTCTCTTCTTACCCTTATTTGCATATGTTTGGTTAGAAATTTTCACTTCCAACTCATCCTCACTTACGGATTCTTCTTCTTCTTCTTCTTCTTGCTCAAAGGAAACAGGGTATTGTTGTAGTAGTAACAGTGCTAACGAAACCTCATCTTCGTCTGGAGTTACAGCCATCTCCTGAAGCTCTTCTTCGTTATAATGTTTTACAAACAAAACTTTATCATATACTCCCTCCGTATTTTAATAATTGTCGTTTTAGAATTTTTATTTTTTTGAATTGGATGTCGTTTTCAAATTTCTATGCAAAATTTATTACTTTTTAATGTTTTATGACATCATAAAACATTAAAAAGTAAGAAATTTTGCATTGAAATTTGAAAACGACATCTAATTTTTAAAAAAATAAAATCCTAAAACGACACTTATTAAAATACGGAGGGAGTATATACTACAAATTATATCCTCCACATGCGTAATTCCTTTTCCGTTTTGTATTAGGAATTATGAAAAAAAAAACTGTTTATTTTCAATGTATATCTCAATTATAAATTAACCCATATTTGTAAAATTCTGTAAATATCTCAATAATGAATTATTTCAAGATTTGGGGAAATGCCCTGTTTATGTTTACAGTTTTGAAAAATACCCTCCATTTATTTTTCCCTTAAAAACTAATTTTTTAATATGTAAAATTACTAAAATAGCCAATTAAAACTTAATACTAATTAACAAAAATCTATATCTTAAATATAAAACCAATTTATTGATGATAAATAAATATTCAATTTTTACAAAACTATTATCTAACTAACGTTTCCAAAGATATTTATTATCTTAAATATTTTTCCAAAACAATAATGAATTTTCTATATGACAAAAACTATGTGGGGAAATTCTCAAACATTAGTAAGATGTTTATTTTTATAATTGAAAACACATAAATACAAAAACAGAAGAAAACAATATGAGTGGTTTACTTTGCAATTTCCATCAACTAGAATATAAACTAATGTCACTTACCTCAAATTTCCATCAACAATACATTTCAGATATCAATACTCCTGAGAAAAAAATGAAGCTTTCTTGTGGTACAAGTTTTGCGTTCTTGATTATGTTACTTCTTGTGGGACAATATGTACATGTCTATGCGGGTAGCTTCCACAAAGACGTTAAGATACATTGGGGTGATGGCCGCGGAAAGATTCACGACAGAGATGGAAAACTTCTTTCTCTCTCGCTCGACAAATCCTCTGGATCCGGTTTTCAGTCTAACCAGGAGTTTCTCTATGGCAAAGCCGAGGTTCAAATGAAACTTGTTCCTGGTAATTCAGCTGGAACAGTAACAACATTCTATGTAAGTTACATACAATTTCAAACCATTTTTGTCATCTTTTGCTGTCCCCTAGAGTACATATATTTAGGCCTATATGTATTGAGTATGTTGGTGCTTATGATGACTTTGTGTAGCTAAAATCGCCGGGAACTACGTGGGATGAGATCGATTTCGAGTTCTTGGGAAACATAAGTGGTCATCCGTATACTCTCCATACTAATGTTTATACAAAAGGCACAGGAGACAAAGAACAACAATTTCATCTATGGTTCGACCCAACCGTTAACTTTCACACTTATTGCATCACATGGAATCCCCAAAGGATTATGTAAGTGTGACCTTTTATCCCTCGTAACGTTTGAATAATCTTCTACGTTTTTGAGGCTATGCGCTCATGAACTTACGTTCTCTTCATTTTTTCTTTTCCTTCTTACAGTTTTACGGTTGATGGAATTCCTATTAGAGAGTTCAAGAACTCTGAGGCAATTGGAGTTCTGTTCCCAACGAGACAACCAATGAGGCTCTACGCGAGTCTCTGGGAAGCCGAGCATTGGGCAACAAGAGGAGGATTAGAGAAAACGGATTGGTCAAAAGCTCCTTTTACTGCTTTCTACAGAAACTACAATGTTGATGGATGTGTATGGGCTAATGGAAAATCATCTTGTTCCGCAAATTCCCCATGGTTCACTCAAAAACTCGATTCCAACGGCCAGACAAGAATGAAAGGTGTACAAAGTAAATACATGATCTACAACTATTGCACCGATAAAAGAAGGTTTCCTCGCGGTGTTCCTACAGTGTGCACTTAAATTGTTGATTCTTTGATACATGAATAAGTTACTTGGCATTTCCTTTGTAACTCAATTAAGTTTTTATCTATTTTTATCATTTATTTGTTGCTTATATATATGTTGTGTTTGTGTAAGATGTTTGTAAGAAGTAATAAATATAAATTATTGAAAAAGCTTTTATTTGTAAAAATAATGAAAACTTAACTGGCTTCACTAGATTGTAAATAAAATAATCATAGAGAGAGGTGGTTCATTAATTCTACAAGAATGCTTGCGAAGAGCATAAATCATAGGAATTGATCTATCTCATATGAATGTACTTTAATACTCTCCCGAGTTAGAACATTATAGTCTTTCATGTCTTTGCACTGATTTATTAGTTTTCTTGGTAAACAATGTTCGATTATATGTAAAGTTGGATACATTGTTCTGATCAATATACTTTTTCTTCAAGAACACAGACAAATATCCTTACAAAATTCTTTTACAACCAAAGTATGGAATCCTGCAATACAAAATACTTACCTAGTCTTAATAAAGACACACAAGATTTTCTTAGTAGATAATAAAAAGTAGAAGGGAGATACAATCTAGGATCCACACAACCTTCTACAGCACCAGATAGGTCTAGCATTTTTGTCACATACACGACAATTATCGTATGAAAACAGTACTCTTAAGGGCAGCCACTCCTCTACTTACATAATCTTGTTTAGACAATTTCAGCTTTCAATTGTGGTTTTAGAGTCCTTGGTGCAGAAAGTAGAACATGTCTTGGTACAGTTTTCAGCTGCTCCATTCAAAGTTTCACTTTCATCTAGTTAGAAACAAAATTTGAATGGATTAGTATTCTCTTGTTCAATTTTTTTTTTTTGTCATCCGAAATTAATTATTCTCTTGTTCCATATTTATAATAACAATACTATAATGGTTCTTCGTACATATAATATTTTACTTAACAAAGAAATAATAATATATGAGTTTGGAGAATTTGCTTTACCGGTGTTCTCTAGAGTGGTTAGGACGCCACACACAGAGTATGCACATCCCAACTTGCAATATTCACTAACCGTATCACCTTGAGTCAAAAATCAAAATACATGTTGTAACGCCCCGACCGCCAATTTTCTTAATGGGCTTCCCGTCGTCTCTCGGCCCGTGTGTCCACTCGTGTCTGACGGTCGGTCCGCTACGTCCGGGAGACACGGATGGGCCCACGGGCCGAGAGAGGACGTGAGGCCCATTAAGAGAGTTGGCGGTCGGGGCGTTTGTAACACTCCGTTTTCAGGAATATGGTGGTGCATGCGGAAAGGTTTAAAAGAATTGATTTGGCCACCGATGTCACCAAAGTGCACTTATCTTTTCGGTCAAACGTCCTGAGAGAACTCCACAGTTAAGCGTGCTTGGGCTGGAGTAGTTTCAGGATGGGTGACCTTCCGAGAAGTGATTGTCGGAACTGTGTGAGTGAGGACAAAACACAGGGAAAGATCATGTGGTGATTTGTAGGGTGTTACAACGTTACACATGTAACTTGCATCAAAAAACAGAATCTTGATCTATGTTGTAACAAATAACATAATAAAGCATAATATAATATAATGTAATAAAAAAAAATTACTTTTGTCTTTGTGAATGACATGATAATATCCCACTAATTAACTACAAGAAGAATGCACATTCTTAGCTCACGAGAAGCGCTACTATACGTAATCAATAGCGTTTTCTAAACACTATTTCTGCCCCATCTATAATAAGGTCACCGTGTATAATAGCATTTTTTGGTATGCTATTATATCGTTTTCTATAATAGCGTTAAACAAATGATGTAATATATATTCTTAAAGCACATTTTTATTGCTGTTTTATATTGTGTTGTAGCACTTTGTATTTGCCGTATTAGATTTACTTATAACTCTTGTTTTATGATATAATCTATTGCTATGTGCTCTTATATTTCATATATTTGTACCCTGTTTTGCATTATATATTAAATTGGATTTATATAAATTTCCTATTGCATTAATTATATATAATATATCCAAAACATACATACCAAATCTTAGAGTACATCAAACCAAGTCTTATATAAACTAACACAACTAGCTAACACCAAAACAATTTGAGGGAAAAAAAAGCACCAAAACAAGTTGATGAGAGGTGGCATCCATAATGAAGTCTCTTTGAATCTCATGTAAAAATCTATTTGAAACCTGAGTTTCATCCTTCCTCGGATCAACTCCTCTTCAGATCCAGTTGCAACTCTCTGAAACAATAAAAAACAAGAAAAAAAAACAAAACATGTCAACTAAGTAAGACTGCTTGGAGTGTATACAAAACGTTGTATTTCATGAGTGTAATGAAGTTAATATCAAATCAATTGTAGTAAGACTCTAGAAACAAACGAAACAAATAAGCAAAACCAAAACCCATTCCAAACACACAAACCACACTCCAAAAGATATATCCACAAAAAAAAAAAACCCGTTAGACCTATTACCTCATTGATAACAAACTTGATCATCGACAGCCATTTCACTGTTTCAGTGATACTATTAATTTACCTTTCACACCAAAGACAAATCTTGCAACTTTAAATAGAAAACATGAGTTAATAATTGTACATGGAGACTAACTGATTTTATGGAAAGAAACCAAACGCAGAAACCCCACCAAAGATAAACCAGACATCTTCACTACACTTCTACAAGTTAGTGACCTGGAAGGTAGAGTCTTAAGCACCTGCAAGTTTCAACAGCAACACCACCAAACCAAAATCAACACAAACAATTTCAAAACTCTATTTTTTATTCACAACAAATCTCCATTTGTTATGAATCTCGTGTATTCTTATTGATTAATGAATGAGGTTACAACTTATATATATACACAATAGGGGAGACAAATCCCAATTGGACGTTACAACTTATATATATACACAATAGGGGAGACAAATCCCAATTGGACTAGGAAACACTAAAGTCCACTAAGACTAACATAAACCGTCTTTGGCCTTGGTCGGTTGGGCGAGTCTTCTAGAAGCTAGACATGGGCCTTCTAGAACATGGA